ACGCTGAATAAGAGAGGTGAGCGCGGGCATCCATGTCTTGTTCCTGATCTTAGAAAAAACTTCCAGCTTTTCATCACTGACTATGTTAGCTGTGGTTTGTGGCCCTTACGGTGTTAGGTATGTCCCTTCTATGCCCACCTCACTGAGAGGTTTATAATACATGGATGTTGAATTCTGTCAAGTGGTTTTCCTGCATGTACTGAGATGATCATATGACTTTTATCCTTCATTCAGTTTATGTGATGTATTATGCTGCTTGATTGGTGGATAGTAAACCATCCTTGCATTCCTGGAATAAATTTCAGTTGATCATGGTTATGATTTTTTTATGTATTCCTGAATTTGTTTGGAAGATTTTTGCATCTATGTTCATATAAGAAATTGGCCTGTAATTTTCTTTTGGGAATGTCTTTCTCTGGTTTTGGTATTAGGATAATGTTGGTCTTGTAGAATGAGTTTGAAAACTTCCCCTCCTCTTCAATTTTTAAATTACTTAGAACAGGATAGGGATGAATTCTTCTTGGAATGTTTGGTAAAACTCACCTGGGAAGCTGTCTAGTTCTGGACTTCACTGAATAAAAAATAAGGTTTTCACTTTCTATTAGATGTCCACCTTTGTTCTACAGAAAACAAATCTGTGAAAAAGAACTAGTGTTCTTTTATTCTCTTTCTTTTAAAAAAATATACTTTTATTTATTTCAGAGAGAGGAAGGGAGAGAGAGAGAGAAACATCAATGATGAGAAAGAACCACTGATTGGTTGCCTCCTGTACACCCCTTACTGGCAATTGAGCCTGCAACCCGGGCATGTGCCCTGACTGGGAATGGAACTGTGACCTCCTGGTTCATAGGTTGGTGCTTAACCCACTGAGCCACGCCGGGTGGGCGGAAGGGGTGTTCTAAGCAGCTGGAGGAAGTTCAGGGACTACTAAAGAAAGGATCCAAGCTGGTCTTGTTATGTAAGGGCCGGTACCACACTGGGGTGCTACTTAGTTACAAAGTGTCACGTGATGATATTTACACGTCTCACGTGACTCACTTCCCGTACCTGCCAGAGGTGTTCTTCAGTATGGCCAGGGCGTCCGGGTAGCCGTCCATGTTGTAGTCGCCAATGCGAAGGGTGATTGGAATCGGAATTTCCATCGGGTGCTGTTCTTGCACAAACGGCACAAAGCCCCAGAGCGTGCCCTTGTTGCTGAAATCCTGCAAGACTGGAACCCACTATGAATAGGAGAGAGAGATGAGACTGTTTTACAGTCATTTTAGAAAAATAATTCACCATTCGCAAAACAAGGAATCCGTTAAAGTCCTCAAGAGAAACATCATCTTATTTAAGTTCTTTCTCTCTACAAGGGGGTGGGGTATCATAATTTACTCTGATGAACTTATATTCTGGGAGAAAGTTCTCTTTAAAATTTATCACTAGTCATCTTTCACTGAACCGGCACATACAGCCTCAGAAGGTTTTTCACAGAATTCCAGAATCTTAGGATTAAAATGACATGACTAATGACATAGCTGAATTGCCCATTTTAAAACCTGTGTTGACTGGAACTATAACCTCAAATAAATATTGTTAGAAATTAGAGCAAACTGCAATATGTAGCTGATGTCCTTTCAGGAGGATCGGTTAGGGGGGAGTTAGAACCCGACCAAGTTCTTTCTGGACGACCTCATTCCCTGCTGGGCCTGATACGTGACCGTGAGCTTGGCCATCACCCCAGAGCCCACCCACCAGCCCGATGAGCCCGGCCTGCCCCGGAGAACGAGCTTTATCACTAAAAGAGCCGGAAGCTCCAAAGTCAGTAAGTTCTTCATTTCTAAATTAATAATGAACAGAACAGAGAGAATAGGTTGATTTTAAAATAAGCTTTTGGAAATAAATCCCTTTCTTTTCCGAATGCCCCCATTTTCCCTTTGTGCAGCCTAATGCACACGATGAATGTGAAGAGCGGGAAGACGCTGTTAGAAGCACAGATGCGCCCAGAGTGAGCTCAGGGCGGGGACACCGGCTGGTAGCTGGAGACACCGCGACAGAGCAGGCGCAGCTGGCCGGCCGGGCAGGCAGCAAGCACCCCTGCAGGGTTTCTCTTAGGAGCAGGTGAGCTATAGTGAAAACGGCTCCTGGAAAAGGACTCCTGTCACGGGTACCCGGACACCCTCCAGCTTCTGAAGAAAGCATGACTTGCCGTGGAGAAGACACTTAAAGACATAGTGACAGAAAACAAGGCGCTTAAAAAAAACCTGTCTCTCTTTAACCGCTTTTTCAATCTCATAAAGTAAGAAAGTATTAAATAGCATCAAAGTGTTCTCATGTTTCACTGGACTGAAAAAGATTGGTTTTGTTTGTGAAGATGGGAAACTTCATAAAGTGCCAACTGATCACCGATTTCTGGAGGCTGACAGCTTATTAATGAGAACGCATTCCTGTGAAGGCAAATGCATTAGGGCCTGAAAAGCAAAACGTTTCTTCATTAACGCGACACCCTAACAGTCACCACAGCCCTGGGACATGCATCTCCCAGAGGCTGACTGTGTGCGGATGAGCGTGCGGGGTCTGCCACCTGAAGACGGCCCCAACCACCAGGCTTACTGACACCTACGAACCGACGTGAGGTATGTGTGACCTCATGTTTTCAGTGATTCAAACTTTAAGAAACTTCAAGATAATAACACTTAGGATTGTAATAGCTAAGAGTGTTTAAAATGCTATTACATTTACTGGGATGACAATGGTTATAGAATTACACAGGTTTCGGACGTACAGCTCCACAATACATCACCTGTGTATTGTGTTTCGTGTTCCAAGCTTCCTTCCATCACCATTTATCCCCTGTCTTTTCCCTGCCCCTTCCCTCGGGCAATCACCGCACCGCTGTCTGTGGAGACTTGTTCTCGTTAGTGTCTTAGTATAAAAGGCGACGTTTGTACTTGTAAGGGCTAAAAGTCAATGTGTTATTCTATCCTCTTTACCTCCAAGAAGAAAGGAAAAGGGATTAGTTCTACCCTATTACTGCTTTCCCGCCAGGCGCTGTCCACATGGAGAAATTTTCAATGTCATGACCTATTGTTTCCGCGTTAGTCCTTGGCTGTGACTATCGGATCCTAAATTGTTCACCTACAGGCTAAGGGAGGAATCGGCGGGAGATGACATAGATCTCGATATCGCAGACAGAAACCCGATTAGCCTGAAAGTGGATACGATGCTCTTCATTAGCCCTGGTTAGAGTTATGGTGCGTGTACCTTCCCCCCCACATATAAAATGCTAACAGATCATTTAATTACAGGATCAAGAACAGGTTTTCTTTACCTGCAATGATTACAACAGCACTTTCCCCCTCAATAAACCAATCAAGACTAGATGGAAACGCATTTCACTAAGTGAGGACGTCGATCATTCGGTTTCTCTCTGCTCTATTCTTCAGATGATCTTTCCTGACCTCCGAGCCTGCTTTTCAAGGCGGGACCCCATCGACGTTAGCGAAGTGACGTACCTGCTCTGTCCCGGACCTCGCCAGGTAGATGGCGCTTCTCTGGCAGCCGCGATCCTCACAGCCCGGGAGCAAGTGGTCCATGTGCCCGTCTCCATCTGCGAAAGAAGCGCCCAGTCCACCAGCAGCCCCTACACGTGTGCTCCCGGAGCAGGGCACGCTCCTGCCCGTCCCCCGGGCACACCGGGCAAGCTGGCGGAACTGGCTCCCTGTTTTAACTGCTCACCTTTCTGGGCTAAATATTTACCCAAAGTGGGAAAAAAGCCCCATTTCAGGGTCTAATGTTAAAATCACCCATTTAAAAAAATGGGGCTTTTGACTTATTTACATCCTCATCCCCGCTGCCCCGGGAGAAAGGAAGCGTGTCAGCAGTAACCCATGATCAGGCATATTTACATGTGTTTACACACGGGCTGTGTTACATGCACGTTTAGGTGTCGCCTATACAGCAGGGACCTCAATGGTCACAAAGCTCGCAGCCCCGACCTCCAGAAAGCAATACATTTTCATCAATAAAAGAGCAAGTGAAGGAAAAAGATGTCATTTCCAGCTGCTGCATTTTCAAGCACTGCACGTCTGCAAAGACCTCTGGAGAGGGGGTGACTGAGGAACCCGGGGGCGGCTCTCAGGGCTCCCCCATCTACTGTCCCGGAGCCTGGGGGGGGGGGTGCAGATTTTGATGTCCGCACCAGGGAGGAGCCCCCTGGTCCTAGGGCTGGGCCTGACTCGGCGTTGCTCTCATCACCGACTCATCGCCGCGGCCTAATGTTTCCGTTCCTGTGCCGGCACAGGCCTGCACCCGAGGCTGTGCGAGGGCTACCGGGAAGAAATGTCCTCCCTGGCGGGGCTGGGTATTGAGAGACAGACGGCGGCGAGCCCCTCGAGTCTCCATACGCATCCAGGAGGAAGGAAGGCCTGTTGGGCGGAGCGGGCGAACCTGGCAGTGGGAGGACCTCAGCGGCCCCTCTCACTTAAAGGACAATGAAGGCTTTCATTGAATTTCCTGGGCTAACTGCTTAGGCTCCTCATGCTTAGCGTCTGTGGGGACACACCCTTCCCGGGAGGTTAACATAAAACAAAGCAGCTGGACTGTGATGGGCAGGGCAGGGCAGGGAGCACCGGTGATGGGACAGTGTGGGTGCCGGCCTCCGGAGACAGCAGCGCCCACCTCGCTGCGGACGCACCAGAACGGCCCCATTTAAAAGATTTAAAAGGACCTTTTAGGATTTTATGCTCGGAGCTAAAAACTCCACCACAGCTGTGGAAAGCTTCGGTTCCTAGACTCCTTTCTGGAACGGACTCCTCCTGTGAGCTCAGCATTCATTCAAGCATGCGCTTTCCTTTCTTTCCTTTCCTTTTTTTACAGCAAATGAATGGCGAATGTCTGGAGTCATGCTGACTTCCTGCCTGTCAGTCATTCCCGTGACTTGGTTCAAAGGAAGTGGGAGGGCGGCAGATGAAGGCAGGATGCGGTTCACAGGCTTCTCAAATGCATAGGAAAATCCATAATTTGTACATATTAATATTCATAGGCTTATTTAACGTATAGGAAAACGCATATTCTGTATATATTAATACTCAGACTTACTCAATGCCATCTGCTTTTTTGGACTCATTAGCAGCCTTGTTTTTTTCTAAAACCAACTAAGAATACAAGGACTTTTTTTTTTAATATTGTTGTTGATTTCAGAGAGGAAGGGAGAAGGAGAGACAAAAACATCAATGATGAGAATCATCGATCGGCTGCCTCCTGCACGCCCCCCACTGGGGATCGAGCCTACAACCCAGGCACGTGCCCTGACCAGGAACTGAACCGTGACCTGGTTCATAGGTCGACGCTCAATCACTGAGCCACACCAGATGGACAGGGCTTTTAAGTAGAAGTTGTGGGATATTTATCTAAAGTTTACTGATACGTTAATTCATATGCAAGCTAGAATATGTTTATTCATATGCTACCTAAAGTTATTAAAAATAGGGGAGAAATACTGTTTCTTCATTGACTATATCCTATAGTTTGCACATTTAAAAAGTGTCAACATATAAATGTCTATGTTTATAGTTAGTGCGATTTTTATTGTTGTTGTTAATCCCCACCCGAGGATATTTTTCCATTGGTTTTTACAAAGAGTGGAAGCGGGGAGAGACAGAGAAACATCGATGTGTCGGGCACATGCGCCCGACCAGGGACCGGAATGGAGCCTACAACCTGGGTACATGCTCTTGACTGGAACTGAACCCGAGACCCTTTAGTCCGCAGGCCGACGCTCTATCCACGGAGCCGGGGGTAGGGAGGTCTGGAAGCCTGAGAAGTGA